AGCATCCCCTTAAAGAGTTCGATTAAAGTGGCGCGAGCGAGCGAGGGAAGTTTAGCACGACCGCAAGGGGAGCGGAGAGACGCGAGGAAATAAGTTAGAAATATCGTGCGCTATATCTGAGAAAGGCTTAAGCCCCGCGACACTTCGGGGGCGATGGAAATGTCGTTTCCGAGACCGCCGTTCTACGATCGGTTCCACGCTGTGATTGAACGAGGCTGCTATCACTCGTTTTGTTTCGCGACGATAAAGGGCCGATTTCAAACGAGATCCGTGATAAGGCATACCTATACGTGGTACGCCGTCGTCGGAAGCTCGCCAGTCGGAAACCAGTATTTCCGATCGGAAACCGTAGAGGCTACGTGATAGCTGCCCAGTTCAATCAGAATAGATAATGATCATCTCTTAAGGAGCACGTGCTCTCTCTCTCTCCCTCTCTCCCCCCTCTCTCTCTCTCTCAATAGTGTTATATTGATTATTATGGGGCTTCAAACGTTGCATGCGAAAACACAATCATATTTGCATGTACAAATCATACTCTTATTTTCTTAATTAGACATTAAATTGAATGACAAATCTATATTTTTTCCGACGTACGAATTATGCACAATTAGAAACTTTGCAATTACATATAAATCAATTATATAATCATACTCGATTTGTTTAGAACCCAGGAACAATTTGCAATTTCCGTACATATATGTGTACGTATGTACGAGCTTTGGAATTTGCACTAAAATCTCTGTACATATAATAAAGCTGGAATGCAAAGCTAAATTGTTAACATACATTAATTTTAACTTCGTGAAGTTTCCTCATAGTATCGATAGCGAAAATCAATCGATGGCGTGTGAATTGAATATCTAGTTTAATTTCCCGTCTCCGCCGAATTTTTTTTCTTCGTAACAGTATGGTAAAATTCACAGCTCATTCGCCATTCGATACGCTCCATAGGGCAAAGGGAAAAACATTCAAGAATTATTCGAATTCGCGTGTTATTACGTAAAATCATTACTTGCATAACACAACTGCCATTACGTTTGTTGCATAATTAAACGATAAGTAACAATAATACTTATGTTTTTCAGTACAGCCAAATGTGACAAATCGGATAGTTACACTTCAAAACCTGTGAGAACACGAGTATATCCCAAATGTGGTGATTTCGACAATAAAGCGATAAATACTGTGGAAGTGCAAAGAAATGGAGACTCTGACAGGAGTAAATTGAAGGTTACTCGGTCCGCGAGAATTTGTTCGTAATTTTCCCTCTAATATATCACTTTGTTGTAACTACGAGGCTCTTTAATAACAATAGACTTTTAATAGCTGTGTAAGCTCTCGCGAAACGCGTTATCCAGGTTCATGGATCAAGATCCCGGTTGAAACAATCTTTCGCAGTCAGTTTTTAATTATTCATTCTCTCCCGTTTAACGCACTCGTTGCAAGTTTCAATATTAAAATATTATCGGCGCCACTTTTTATTGCCATTGAACTTTATCGGCAGGCTCTCGCTAAAATGTGTTTGTCTTCGTTAAAAGACCATCACGCTCTGTCGCTGTAAAGTAAGTTTATGACACATGAAGAAATATTGAAATTCTATATTGATATTTTATATGACAAAATATATATTTCGTATTTTCAAATGTTAAAACGCTTCAATATCGTTGACAAATGATTCCAGAATTTCCGTCTATTGCAATAACGTTTGAAATTAATTAATAACATTGAAATAATACACTTCTCATTTATATCCCACTGTATTATTCCGAGCCATTTGAACAATCCGATATATACGTGACGCAAATCCTGCGTATGTCAGAATATTTATTTCCACGATGAGCGAGGGAAAAAAAAGGGAAGCGCTCATTGTTGCAAAGAACGAATTTTACGCAGTTTGCGGGTAATAGCTCGCCGTCGCGTGGAAGTGCGTTGCGACGGGCTTTTAACGACAGCTGAGCAATTGAAAGGCTGCCGTGAAACTCAATAAATAGAATTCCTACGACACAACGTCGCGCTTGCGATTTCTACGAGGTGTCAGCACACTTCTGCGTACAATGAGAGGCTTTTAAACTTTCGGGTTCAATGACGCTCAGAAGCGCAACTTCCAAAAATGCTGAGGATGAAAAAAGTTTACACGGCCCGCTGGAGACAGCTCGCTTTAATGGAAACTAAACAAACCTTTCTCTTGGCTTGTATTTCGGTAATCGCATTATTACGTAAGAGAGATCTGATAGCGCAGGAAAGATCCCAGGATATTTCCTCGAGCGAAATAATCTAATGAAAAATGGAGGGCTGTACGCAGGCATCCTAATTTCAACAGACATCTCTTAAAGAATTAATTTTTGTCATTGCCAACTTGACGAAAGCTTTTTTCCTTTTCAGTATTAGAGAGAATCGGGAGTTGAAATAAAATTTATTTTAACCAGAATTACGTAAAAATGTGATGCCTAGCTGTAACGATTCAGCTAAAATTCTTCACTTTTTAAAACTACTAGGAATAAATGCAATCAAACGTGGCTTTCCATAGAATTCATATTAATTACAAGTACACGTCGTACATTAGGCACAGATTGTACTTCGTGCGATCAATTTAAAGAATAATAACGCATTCGTATTTCGTATTTTATAAAATGTATAATAACCGGACTTAAAATGTGTAACAATTAATCAACAGGTTAGAGAGAACGAATACTGGAGCAATGTGCTTCGTAATCAGTGGCTGCTAGCGTTACAAGGAATTGTAATAGTGATCGTAATTCTCACTATGGGAACGTGGATTGGACACGAGTGTAAAGAAGACATCGTCGAGGACGGTCCACTGACACTGTGGCGTTTGTTTATGGAACGATTTCGAGAGACAATTGTCAACGTGGGAACAGAGTTACGGTAAAAAAAATTACGGTAAAATTGCAATTATTCTCAAATTTAAATATTTTTATTCCCGGTTTAAATGGAAATTCGTAAATTATTATATTTTGTCCACGTAAAAAGTTACTTCTTGCATTAATAAATCAATGATACAACTTCAAAGTGAAAATTTAATCGTATGTCATTACAGACCGTGTTACCATACAGAAGCGGACACTCGACAAAAAAGAAGAGCGAGCATCTTAAAGCGAAGGCGTGTATTTTTATGAACGGATAAATTATATTTTTTATAAGAAGAAAGAATGTTAAATTAATGAATTTCGTCCTTGCACAAACTCTGTTCATTTCTTCTAACAAATATCAGCGAGAGAGAGAGAGAGAGAGAGAGAGAGAGAGAGAGAGAGAGAGAGAGTTTCATGTATTTAAAAAACTATACGTAAAATTAACGCTAGATTTTGGCGAAACGTCAGTGACAGCTTTACTACAACTTAATTACATGCCACATTTGTGTACTTTATCGACCATTTAAATGCCATTCACAAAATACAAATAAGATTATCGTTTTCTTAAATTTTCTACATTGTCGTCCTCGTGTTCTTCGCAGAAGTAATTGTCACAATAATAAAGCCACATCGCCGTTGTGAAAAATAAACCGATAGGCACTAGAAACCAACGATGCTGCCTACAACGAGCCATCGCGTCATTTGCAATCCTACAATTGAATATATTGATGAAATGTTGTATACAAAAAGAAACTTTTAAATGTAAAATATGATTAATGAGTAATTAATGTGCATTAATAACAGATTGTGTGTCCTGTACTTAAAAAAAAACGGAACTTAATTAAGGAATACCAAGCGATTAACTCGACTGAATCGGTTTTCATTCCACGGGATTTAAATTGCGTTTTACATATTTTCCTCAGAAACTTTTCAGCCAGTTATAAAATTGTACTATCTGTTCGAAGCGTATAAAGGGCAAATTTATACAGTACTGTTCATATCTCAAATTATAAATTTCCAGCGTAGAGTATTTCTAATTAGAAAAAACGAAGCCAATTAGGGGATGCCAAGAAGCAAAATGGTATGTTTCAATTAATAGTATGCCGGATATTTATGTTATTTTGGTTAAAACAACCAATGGAAAACACAGTAATAAAACATAATATGTAAATGTAATATAATATTATAAAATAGAATATACTATACGATTATAATATAAAATATAATGGAAACGACTTACAATTAATATATATACGTACATATATATGTGTGTGTGTGTGTGTGTGTGTGTCTCTGTATGCAAAAATGAAAATTTATAAACTCACTTCTCGTTAGTTACTCAAGCTCTTATCAATTTGACATATTTTGGTTAGTGTATGCGAGCGTATTCGAAGGCATAGTAAAGCATCACCATTCCTGCACATACTTTGATAATATCGTCACCCATACTTTCTTACCGCTAGCGGTTAACGTACAATCTCAAAAATCGTTCGGCACTAAAAATTAATAAGTGAATTGCAGGTGTCGAAAAATTTTACGTTGTATCGAGGCCGATTTCCCTAATATTCGGGATCCTCCTTTGTTTTTCGTTTCACGACTTTCTTTGCACGTGTACACACGGTAATCCAAATATATCCGCATCAACGTAAATAAATCGTTTGTTAGCTAAATAAAACTGAATCAACCATCCGTTAAATTGGATTAATATTTTTAGCGACACGTCGCGAAAACGCTTCATCAAACTTCTGCAAAATATATTTATCGCGCCAAACGTGAACTAACAGCGGCAATTAATAAATGCTACATAGGAGATAAAATATCGTAGGAATGTAACTGTCGAATGTTAATAGAAATTAGTAACTTGGCATCACTTCTAACGTTATTATGAAGAGTGAGATGTAAACGACGGAACGAACTTTATCTTCATTCGTGCGTTACTTATTTATTACTTCACATTACTTTTGCTAACCGGAAAAACTGTGCAAACTGGAAACTAGTGTTATTAAAACAGGCGTTGCATACTAAACGTATTAATCAAAATTACCACGCTGCACTATGCTCGTCTATGTTGCCTCCTTAGCCAGTGCAAATGCGCCCAACATTTCTCTGCCCTAACGAGAGAGAAATTTATGATGTTTGGAAAAAAAGGAAAGAAAATCGCATTACCGGATTAACATTAGCGTAACACCATCCTTGGAATTATTTGGATTCTGAAATGTCGCTGTCACGTGATTATCCGAGTGGACGAAGATTTGAAAAAAAAGAAGAGGAACATATTATTCCGCTATATATTTTTTATTGTTTTGCTCGTGAAGCGTTACAGAAATAACCGTCTACTTTTTAAAGCAGGATATTAGTGTCAAGAAAATAAAGAATTTGTAGGGAAACATGTTACTTGATGTTTAAAATGCACGCAGAAATTCCGATAGAAAATATCATTTTCCTTTTCCTTTTTCTTTTAAGTACAATATCTACTTCCTTTCATAAAAGTCGGACACAGTCGACTGAGACCAAATTAACAGAAATTTT